CACTAAGCAGAGTGTGTCGGCATACCTTATTCGCGTAAGTCCACTCTTCAACTAGTTTTGAGTTTGAAGGAATAGTGGAGTCGGGCTTCGGAGATAAAAGAGCAACAACAACTCCATACATGTCTAAAAGGGTAGACACACGTTCTTGCCAACGTCGGAAGTTCTGTCAAGAGAAAACCTCGATTTTTGACACGTCCGGAAGCGATTTTACGAAGACCGTCTGGGTTCCAGAAGAGATGGTTTGGCTCTCTGAAGGCATGTTTTTGATGTCAGCCATAAGTCCTTAAGATTGTTGTGAAAGGGCTGACAGAATCACGAACAAAATTTTCTGAGGCGTGTAGAGTCACTGTCCTTAAGGACTTATCCACGGTGTGTTGTGCAAGTCCCCCAAGATACAACAGGAACTTCCCAGAATATTTCTGAGAATCTCAAAACTAGCAAGGATCCCTCAAAGGAGTATAAAAATAACTCAGAATAATTTTAGAAGAGGAAAAGGAAAAAGAAGAAAGAGAGAAGACTGATTTAGGTGTCCTTTGGAAAGGAGGAAGAGCTCTCTATTTATAGAGCTAGGAGAGAATAAAACCAATAAAAGAAAATAAAACCAATAAAATAAAAGAAAAACATTAAATTTTGAACGTTGGAGCACTTAAGGAATTTTTTATTGTTGCTCAAAATTCTTCTCGTTGGCAATAAAGCACATTAACTTTGCCAAATACAACGTTGCAATACAAGTCTTTTGCAATCAATGTTTTACAACAGTAGGGAGACATGATTACATATGCGATAGTACAAGATTTCTCTAAAACAGATTTGGTAACGAAAGGGGAAAACTGAGTCAAAACTTACTTGCTTTATTAAAGAAACTGATCGGATAGAAATGTAGACATCGTTGTCGTGGTCGATTAGGTACCTCCTGATCGTCAAAAAGATGATTCAGGAGTTAGAACTCTTAGAGATAAGGTAGAGAGAACTCTAGAAAAGTGGTTTATAGAAAAATGGTACGATTTAAAATAATGAAACTCGTTTATAACAAAATTATTTACAAATAAATCATTTAATATTAAAATAACCGAGTCTCACGATTTTTAGACTACCACCACTTTTAAAATATCATTTTGTGGGATTTTACAATTATTAGTGACTAATGATATTTATTGGTATTAAAAGTGATATTTAATGAGTTAATAACTCATTTCAATAAATAAATCATAATGTTTTTAGGAAAAAAATAGTGGTTACTATTATGTTATATTACTAATCAATTTCTATTTATCTTTTTGTTTTCACTCCGTAACTTTTGATCTAGTGATTCTATTCCTTGACTTTCTTGAACATTGTTTTAATAGTTCGGCTAATATATTACTCAATATTTATGAATTTATTCTCATGTTTTATGTATTATACATATGTCTCACTCTTTGGAATTCAAGTAAAAGGAGGTAGGTTAATTAACATTTTTTTCTTTTCAATACGACAATATGTCATATTGAATAAAAGGTTAAATATCAAAAATCAAAACTTTTTGTACTGTTATTCACTAATATAAAGCTCAATATTAGTAGAAAATGATCCTATTAAAATATAAAGTTTTCGATAGATAAATATTTTTTTCATCAAATGATATTCAAATATTACCTAATGGAGAGAAACATGTAAGAAGAAGGCTAATTTATTATAGAGATTTGGATAGAGTTTTCTTTTCTTGTTACAAAATTTTAATGTTATTTTTTCTATAAATAAATTAGCTAACAAAGATAGTAAATATTGGAGAAATCTTAGTATAAGTTGAAGAGTAAATAAATAATAAATAAACATATTAAATGGAATGTGTGAATTAAATGAAAAGTGTGTAATTATAGTTTATTTTTCATTTGTAAAATATCGGATAATCAATGCAATAAGTGCGTAAGTATAATGCACTGAAAGGTGTTAGCAATGTACATCATTATGATGCAGAGATGCATTATAATGACAATAAAATGTTGGTACTTCACAATGATAGGTTGGTACAAAGTCAGTAAATTCAATCAATAGAAAAGCACAAAACATGAAAGATTCTACACAAATCATAAATACTCCTTAATATTCATATGCATCACACTGAACAGTTTTACGCATAATAATGCAACAAACTGAACTTTATTCCACCCAAAGGAAGGATCTACATAACCATCCTTCTCCTCAAACTTCACACAGATATATTATTATTATTATTCTTCAGATAAGCGCTTAACCTAAGGCCAAGATCATTATTTCTTTCTTAATTTTATGCATAACTTTTCGAAACTATGCCTTGAGGTGAGCATCCATATCCACAGTGCATTTGTAGAGGTACTCGATGTAGCCATATGGAGGATGAACTTCTCCACTAAGCCTCTCATATTCAACAGTCCATTTGATATTAGCACCACCATTCTCCTTATCACTTGCTTCAAATACAAGGTTTATGAACTTGAACTCTTTAGCCACGTCTCCACCGAAGAGCTTGAAGATTATTATTTTCTTCGCTTCATCGTACTCCATACTCTCCTGACATGTGTTAACCTTACCATCTGTTCTTTTTCAAGCAATTGCAAAACAAATAATATTTATAAATTATTTTACGATTTAAAAATATGGTAACAAAACAGATAAATTACCTATGATATAAGTCCAGTGTTTGATGGCCTCATTGTGGTGCCAGTCTTGACCATGATGCAGCTTGGCTTGGTGAATTCTATCAGTAAGGTTTTGAACCTGATGGAGTTGCGTTGCAAAGATGTTGTACCACTTTGCAGCAGTTGCATGAACCCCAATTTCAATGCTGATTCTACCACCCAGAGCCATGATCATAAACAAGAAGCAGAAAACTATGAGATAGACAAAGAAGAGTGGGAGATATGGTGCATTATATTGCCACCAATATCCCCTCTTATATAGCAACAACACTTACCTGCCCATAACAATCCAATGATTAATTAAATTTTGGGGTCCATTTCGATACCCTACCATAAAAAAATGTACCTAATCAGATTTTCTGGGAGAAACAAATCTATCTGATACCATATATCTAGTACTACTATTGTTATTATTTTATTTATCATATACCAATTATTATCTTCTCATGTGTATAATGTTTCCCGCTCAAAACAATTCTATATGTTTCAGTGATACGTTGAAGCATATCTCTGAGGCTGTTCCATATAAACAATTGAGGCAGTTGTTCACTGTCTTTTCATTCCAAAGTTAATGAATGATAGTGAGTTATTGTTGTCATCTATTATTAACTAATAAATTGAAATTATTTTTGTACATGTTTTATAAAAGGTGTCTTACAGAACGCACTCTGATTTTTAAATCCCCTGGATTTTTTTACATGTTATATAAAATATATGCTTTCACATAAAACGTGCTTTGGAATTCCTAAAGGTGAGTAGGGGTTACACCTTCCCCATTTCTGGGTAATTCTTAATGATTTTTGTTCAACATTTCATATCAAACTGAAATAAGGTAAATTACAGAATATAAATACTCAAAATCTTCCCTTACTGAGCTGATTTCGAGAGCTTGACTTTTGCTTAAACTCACTACTTTAGTTTAGTACGCACTAGTATACGAAAGAATTTTGACACTGATTATTGATTATTTTGAATATTATGTATTAGTTTTATAATCAAAACACATTTTGAGAAAGCAAAAAATTAATTTTTTGTCTTCCTTTATCAATTTGGCATAAACGTCTTTATTATATTTTAATTCTCGCATCTTAAACATGAAAGCATAAATAAATAATAATAAAATTGTAAATTTGGTTTCATTTCTATAGTAAACCAAACCTAAATTATTTTTTATTTTAAAAAAATTGTTTAATTTTAAGAATATTAGGTTTCAATAATAATTAGAATCGAAGCCTAATAATCATAAAATTAAATTATATTTTAAATAAGAAAGTGTATTAGATTTGAATTATTATCATTATCGAAGTTTAATACCCTTGACATTAAAATATTTTTAAATAAAAAATAATATTAGATTTCGATTATCACTAAAACTGAAGTCTTTTTAAATATTTTTTTGTTTATTCTACATATTAAACATGTACAAAATATCACAAAATTAACATAGAAAGAACATATTATATTTATTAAACCCAAAATAAGTTAGAATCTAGATACAAGAATATTTTATCCTTACAAGTAAATGTTTTAAATACTATTTTACATTTGTATTATGTATTTTTCACAAGCTATCCTTAAATACTTAATTTACTTATCAAGAATTGGTGTAGGATTCTTGAACTTTTTCACAAAATATAATAATTTCAATTAGAATATAAAAAGACAAAGTTACAAAATATTTGATTTAATGCAATTACTACTATTTATTAACTAGTTGTAATAGGAACATGAACAATTATTGTCATCCATTGTCTTACATATGGTACTCATATGAGTCAATTTGTTTATTACATTATAATATACCAACAGAATTCTAAAGAATTAAAGAAGAAAAAGAATAAAAAAATTATAAATATATAAACCAAAATATCAAACCTTTGGAGAGACAACCATGCAAACTTTTTTGCCTTAAGTAGTTGATTTCTCTAACAACACGCTATATCTAATAAATGAATTATGATAAAGAAAATGTTTTAGGATACACTTATATAACCAAGAAAGTTCATATCATTGAGGTTCTTACGAATCTATTACTTGTCTTAGATGGTTGTGGGAGACTTTTGCAAGGAGAGAAACCACACAATAATGTTGTCCTTCTAGAAAACCACAAGTAGTTGCAAATGACATCTAAATTGAAAATAACTTCATTGTTATACTTTAAATATGATGGACTATAATTACAAGTCAATAAACTACATTTACGCAACATTTAAAGCATTTGGTAATGTATGCTTCGATGTCATCAAACTTCTTATCTTCATAGTGAGTTGGGGGTCTATGAACTCGTATACATCATTCAATCCAATTTTGTTACTAACATTAAACGTATACTTAAACACAAAAAATTTACTTGATATAAGTAACTAGATAAATCAATTAAATATAAATAATGGTTTAGAGACCAATGTCATCCATAACTAAAAAAGGGTAATATTAGTTCTTCTTTCCTCGATGCAAGTTCTAAGACATCTTGCTTAAACAAGTAAAGTGAGATGTTAATGTTTGTCCCAAATACACCAGCATCTCATGGAACTGACATCGACTTATCACTTATGATGTCAACAAGCTAGTGGAATGTACCAAGAGGATTGCTCCCAGATAGAGGAAACTTATTGGGTTTAGGACTTTCCTCTCGATGTGACTATTGTTACATGGAAAATAATTTAAGTTCGAACATAATTAATAGGTAAAATTAAAAATTGAGTAGTGTATGGTAGGTTTGGGAGTTCATATCGGAGTGTCAGAAATAGAACCAACCTAATCTCTAGGCTAGTCGAGGAAAGATTAAAATGTTTGTGTCATGATATATACGTCATCTATCGACATAAAAACTAAAACAACTGATACGAGAATTTCTTTTACCATGACCTTAACATCATTATTTGATACCTTTATACCATGAAGAACTGTGGTTACCTCAACTACGGGCCACTAGTTTTCTCATTGTATCATCCAAAACATATAATTACTTGGACTGGTGTCATCCATGTTATCCCCCGATAGAGGAGGAGTTGAATAACTCCTTTTTTCCTATTTGTCAAAGTCAATATTAATGTTACTTTATTAAAGAACAATTATTCAGTTCATAACTTATCACAAAATAGTTATTAATTTTACCTGTGGGAGACATAAAAGGTTCTTGTGGAAAAGATACCTGCGGACGGATGGCACAACTATCGAACTTCGGCTGGAGAGCCTGAAGTAAGCTTAGAATTTTTCAGTAGAAACAAGCAATATCAAAAGGAAAACATCATTGGATAGTTTAGAATTGTGAGACAGCTTTAATTTGAAATCTTGGAGGAGGGATAGAATAATACGGTAATATCATACCATAGAAAAGGTATTAAGACATATTATAACGAACTAAAAATTTGATTGTGATAGTGAAATATCTGTTAGTATTGTGGATCTTAATTTAGTTTCACATCGTTTAATAATATAAGATGTTATTATCTATTTAACTATATAAACAATCATCTATAAAGCTTGAGAGATATATCAAATACATAAATATATTTTCTAATGTAGTCGTGGACGTAGGCATTTTTATGTTAAATCACGTTATTTATTTGTCTCATCTTCCACATCCGAAAATGAGTGGTTTTCTTGTTTTCTTTTCTTGGGAATCTTGGTTTAGAGAAGTCGTGAGAGCTTTCTTCAATGCAAATTTGATGCAGACATTGTCAAATACCTATGAGCACTCATCCACAACTAATAAAGTGTATTTATTTGCTGGCTAGTCAACCTCAAAATGGATGAAGGTAACTCGGTTACTCATCATATTATTGAATTTAATACAAGTATTGCTCAATTAGCATCAGCGTAGATAACTTTTGATGATGAGGTGAAAGCATTAGTCTTATTATCATCTCTTTTGGAAAGTTGGGGTGCAACTGTTAGTGCAATTAGTAATTCTTAGGGAAACGTTGAGTGCTAAAAATACAGAAAGAAAGTCAAAAAGGTGGTAATCAAGGCAAAGGAAGATTAAAGTCTAGAAGGAGACCATAAAGAAAAGTATGGAATGATATCACTTGTTGAAATTGCCAGAAAAAGGGTCACTTAACGAATCGATGTTGTTCTTCATGGAAGAACAACAACAAAAATAAACAAGATGATGATCAATTAGGAAATGCAACAACAGATGAAATTATAAATGTATTATTATGTAGTTTAGATAGTTCTACTGACTCATGGATTATGGAGTCTGGTACGTCATTTCATACTACACCTTCCTTAGAAGTATTATCTAACTATGTTTTTGGAAAGTTTGGGAAGATTTACCTTACAGATGGAAAATCTCTTGATATTGTGGGAAGAGCTTATATTAATATCAAAAACTCTAATGGACAGTTAGATGATGAGGGGCACCACCTTTGGAGATGGACATTGGAAGGTAATGGAAGGAAATATTGGTTTTACTCGTGGAAAGAAGCAATGATCTCTTTGCATGATTGTAGATGAGAATATGATACCAGTTGCAAAAGTTGGAAATAGTTCCTCTTTGT